CAAAGGAAGGACTGTTGTATCACCAGAGGGCTGTTATCTCGAAGGAAGGACTGTTGTATCACCAGAGGGCTGTTATCTCAAAGGAAGGACTGTTGTATCACCAGAGGGCTGTTATCTCGAAGGAAGGATTGTAGTATCACCACAGGGCTGTTATCTCGAAGGAAGGACTGTTGTATCACCAGAGGGCTGTTATCTCGAAGGAAGGACTGTAGTATCACCAGAGGGCTGTTATCTCGAAGGAAGGACTGTAGTATCACCAGAGGGCTGTTATCTCGAAGGAAGGACTGTAGTATCACCAGAGGGCTGTTATCTCAAAGGAAGGGCTGTTGTATCACCAGAGGGCTGTTATCTCGAAGGAAGGACTGTAGTATCACCAGAGGGCTGTTATCTCAAAGGAAGGGCTGTTGTATCACCAGAGGGCTGTTATCTCGAAGGAAGGACTGTAGTATCACCAGAGGGCTGTTATCTCAAAGGAAGGACTGTTGTATCACCAGAGGGCTGTTATCTCGAAGGAAGGACTGTAGTATCACCAGAGGGCTGTTATCTCAAAGGAAGGACTGTTGTATCACCAGAGGGATGTTATCTCGAAGGAAGGACTGTAGTGTCACAAGAGGGCTGTTATCTCGAAGGAAGGACAGTAGTATCACAAGAGGGCTGTTATCTCAAAGGAAGGTCTGTAGTATCACAAGAGGGTTGTTATCTCAAAGGAAGGACTGTTGTATCACCAGAGGGCTGTTATCTCAAAGGAAGGACTGTTGTATCACAAGAGGGCTGTTATCTCGAAGGAAGGACTGTAGTGTCACAAGAGGGCTGTTATCTCGAAGGAAGGACAGTAGTATCACAAGAGGGCTGTTATCTCAAAGGAAGGTCTGTAGTATCACAAGAGGGTTGTTATCTCAAAGGAAGGACTGTTGTATCACCAGAGGGCTGTTATCTCAAAGGAAGGACTGTTGTATCACAAGAGGGCTGTTATCTCAAAGGAAGGTCTGTAGTATCACAAGAGGGCTGTTATCTCAAAGGAAGGACTTTTGTATCACAAGAGGGCTGTTATCTCAAAGGAAGGACTGTTGTATCACAAGAGGGCTGTTATCTCAAAGGAAGGACTTTTGTATCACAAGAGGGCTGTTATTTTAAAGGATGGACAATAGTATCACAAGAGGGCTGTTATCTCAAAGGAAGGACTGTTGTATCACAAGAGGGCTGTTATTTTAAAGGATGGACAATAGTATCACAAGAGGGCTGTTATCTCAAAGGAAGGACAATAGTATCACAAGAGGGCTGTTATCTCAAAGGAAGGACAATAGTATCACAAGAGGGCTGTTATCTCAAAGGAAGGACAATAGTATCACAAGAGGGCTGTTATCTCAAAGGAAGGACAATAGTATCACAAGAGGGCTGTTATCTCAAAGGAAGGACTGTAGTATCACAAGAGGGCTGTTATTTCAAAGGATGGACTATAGTATCACAATAGAGCTGTGTAGTAACACTTAACACTAGCCTTTTTGTTAGTATCATTAGTATTGTGTTAAGCACGAACATTGCAAGAGAAATAGGCTACTTCTTTTTTTTCTGTGGATTGAGCATTATCATGTCCGTAAGTCTGATTTATTGTCTCATTCATATTGCTATTGAAGGACTTAAAAAACTTACTATGGAAAAATATTGAATATGAGCCCACCTTTATTAGTTCCCGAACTATAACAACTAACAGGGAATTATTAGTAGACCTACACTATATAACTTATTTGATGAAAAGTGCTGTTTCCCGTTTCTCTCCCACATTTTTTAGTACCGGTGAATACAATTTACTTTCAAATTACACAGCGCTATGCAAAGACCACAAAAGGAAGTTTTAAAGATGCTGGGTAAGGAAAACTGGGAGACAATTAATTTCATTGAACACAGACACTGGACAGCTTCATAGTGGTTGACCTTCATGACCTACAGGGGACACGTGGTTAGCACTCAAACAACAGGTACATATTTTATAGATGGAATTAAAGTGCCATATCCATAAGTGCCTATCTAGCTATCAAGGATGCAGATCGTTTCTCTTGTAATACATTTTTTTGCTCTTTCAATTTCCTCTCTTTCTTCCAACTGAGATCTTCTAACACACTATAGTTTTGGAAGACCCAAGAACAAATTTATCCTATGTGACGGTTATATGACAAAAATAGATTAGGCAAAGTTTTTTAAAAGGCTTTTTATTTAGTTAGGTTTTAAATTCAAATAAAAGATAGGGGTAATTTCTTAAGCATAAGAAATATTTAAATACATTAAAATTACTTTGGTTTTCTGTATTGGAATGGTTTTCATTCTACGACCCTATTTATTTTTTTTTTTATTTTTTTTTTATTTTGCTTCCAACGGTCCAAACAAACCAATTTACAATTATTTTTTTATATCACCAAAATCATCATCAAAATATCCATCACCACCTATATGGATATTTTGTTGCTGGTGCATCATTTTCACGGATCTTGCTTAGTACAGAAAGGAATACATCTTTCTCAAGAACTGAGACAATGTAACAAGGTAGTAATATAAATTTTCCTTGCTGTGTAGTATTTAAATATTGAAAAACAGTCAATCATAAAACCATAGATGACAAGAGGATGATCAATATTAATATTCAATCATACAATAAAAATAACTATTACTTATTTTTGTAAATGGTAAGATAATTATTTTGTTCATGATGTCACTAAGCCATACTATATTAAAAACAATACTTTAAAGGACCCGATTTCATATTTATTACGTGACAACTTCATGAAACTAAATAAATAATAAAACTGTAATATCAGTATTTTATTTGTATGTTGAGTTTGTTTACGCTGGGTCAAACATATTGTTTTCCCAACAAATTTAATTCTCAAAGTTTTGTTTCACTTTTGTTATATGATATCAGAACCAAGAATGAGACTATAAAATTACATTTCTGGATATAATAATCACAATACATGTAAAAATATAGTAAAAAAGGTTTTATTTAATCAAGGCCCATAATTCTACTTTTTCGATGTCACAAAAGGTTTTACAACTCTGACACGTACAAAGAGTTCCTGCTAACAGTTTTTGCACAACTGTTTCGTACAATAACTTTAAGATCTGATACCATCAGTGTTCCGTGGTGTGAATTGTATATTCTATACCACACCCTTTTGTCCTTGATCAGACCATTACTTGCCCTTCAGAAGGTAAAAGGGTGCAGATCTGACAAAACATTAACCCAAGCATCGTTAATTAAATTAATTTTTTTCAGGATTCGTACATGAAAAGTCCCACGATATCATAATCATGAATCGAGATATTTATTTTTGTCAACTAAGAAAACAAAATAAAACATGTCTCAAGAAGACTTGGTAAACAAAAACTATTAATGGACCGAATTTTTACATATTTTTGATAGTTTAAAGATTAATCTTTTCAAAAGTTATTGGTTTGTGTAACGTTTTAAAAACACTTTTGAGGGATGGAAATTTGAAATTAAAAATTAATATAGTTTTAGTTTAATTTTTGTCGTTGCAAATTCTTTGAGACATAAAAAATCCATATCAATGAGAAAGCAGCGATTTGGTCGAATGCGTGGGTCATTGCCCCCTTGTCTTGCTTATTATAATTTTCAAATTTTCTTTGGAGAGACTGTTTCTGTGTACAGTTTTCATTGCATTTCCATACAGTTTAATGAAGTTTTTAAACATCAGAGATTTCCTTCTTTTATTAACAATTTCAAATTTCTAGCCATTTTTTCTTTTTTTTTTTGCTGAAAAATGTCAATGGTAAAAAGTGGCAAAAGAAATCAAATTGATTCATTAAGAGATTAGTTACAACTAATAAGTTCTCTATAACTCTATTTAAGGTTTAAAATGTATAGATAAATAAGTATTTAGAACTTAACTACAGTACTTGTTCACCACACGATATTATAATAAAAAATTATTAACACTTGTTTTTTTATTTTTTATTATTGTTATTATTATTGTTACTTTTATTATTTTTTGTTTTTTTATTGCTCTAAAGTGCCAAATTTACAGGGTGACCAGCCCAACACCGGAATATGGTTCTATGGGTAAAAACTAAAAATAAAGAGAAAATCAAGAATGAATTTTTTCCCGGTTAAACCACAGAGAAGTAAGGTACAGAGGATACATGCTTATGGGACAACAGTGCGCTTTCAGTATGTTGTGCTGGAATCATGTGACGAGCAAAGAAGAGCTTGAACGGCGAGCACTGTGCGGAAATTCATATTGCATTGTCATCCTCCACAGAGTATTGTTGTAGTACACGATGGCGAGGGAGGGTGGGGCTGGAATTTGAATTTGACCTAGCAAATATCTCAAATGGTTAAAAAGTTAGGAGGGGGTGTAAGTTACTTTTCAGCTACCCTGTATATTAAAAAAGGGGAAGATATGAATTTTTCTCCAAACATTGCAATTTCGGTTAAAATAGACTAGCACTTTTTAGTATGGCATACGATAAAGCATAACAATATAAGTGTTTAATTGCAAACTTTAAATTTGCAATACATGTAAAATCTTATACTCAGCATGTTTGGCATACAATTTTATACGAGGCTCATTTTGATTGAATACAAGAAATATATGATAAATTTATTTGATGGATTCACTTCTTTGGCTTATTGTGACAAATCGTGGCTAGAAGTAGAAATTGTATACAGATTTCAGAACATATTAAAAAGTTTCTGTAAGAATACAATATAAAGACAGAGAGTAAAACTAAACTTGATGTTGATATTGATTTTAAATCATCAATATCTCCCATTCTGGCTTTGTACATACACTTTTACAAGCTTCAACATTGAAGAATAAAGTATTTTTCAAAACTATCATCTTGCGCTAAAGATGGTGTTGCAAAACAAATTTAGCCAACTATTTTTGGACAAATTCTCAATCATTTTTGCATACAAAAGTATGTGTGTTTTTGTCACTGTAGTTTTGAATAGGATTTGATAACAAATAAGCATTCAATAATAACCAAAACTATTTATTAAAGACAATTTAAAAACTAATTATATTCACAAGTTCATGAAAGATATGAAGCTACTTACAAAAGGTAAAATTGAATTCAAATGATGATTTTCCTGTACTAAACAAAACAAGTTAAACGATTTTATATTTTTGGTGTAGTTTATGATTATATTTTTCCACTTACCATCTACTTAAAACACGTAAATTAGAGCCGTACCTAGATTCTTCATTTTAAAGTTTTTTGTATGATATTATGTAAAATAATTTGTACTAATGTTTGAGGATTTGTTGTTTGAAATTTGTTGCTTAATTCAGAGGTGTGCAAGAGATTACAAATAATGCTTTAAAAACTATAAAAATATATAACTCATCCACCGATCAAAATCATGCTGATCAGCTATAAGTCATTCAAAACTTAATACTAAAAGAAACAAAGTTTTTTTTTGTTTAAATTACCGTTTAAGGCAATCCTAATCCTATGATTCATACCAAAATTCAATACAAACACTTTTAAAAGCATCAGTAGGTGTTGATTAAACCATTCACTTTAAGATTTTGAAGTAGACATCCCATTAATAGGAACCAGTTTTAGACTATTTTGTATTAAAAATGGAGGTAGTTGAATACTCACAGAGTGGACTGGTCTAAAATTAAATTTCCTCGGTTTTTTTTACTGAGATAGTTTATAGAGACCAAAGTTGTCCTTTTAGTCTTGTTTTCAAAAGAAATCAGCATTCTATCAGTGGCTTCAACTACGTACAGTAGAACCTCAATAATACGATCTCGACTAGACCGGCTCCCCCCCTAATTTCGACCATGCCATCGCCTATGAGTGACAATGTTATCACAGTATTATCGTGACTATTTTCCATGGCTGTTTGGAGGTAATCACCGTCTCACGAAAACATATATCACCATCCTTCACGATCGAGAAAATTAAAAAACGTCTCTCACAGTCACAGGAACTTTATCATCGTCTCCCGATATGGTGGACCCCTAGGTTAATTCCACGGTCTAGGAAAAATCATTATCATCTTTAGTGATTGTGGCAAAAACCTGAACATCTCCCACGATCGTGTAGACATCATCATAGTTTTCCGCAATCATGGAAACTATTGTTGTTACCTGCAATCACGGCATACTCTTGCTTAAAGGAAAATCATCGTTGTCTTCTGCGATTGTGGAAAACTGTTGAATGTTTTCTTCAATCATGGAAATGCCATCATTGTCTGCCGCGATACTGGAATAGAGTGGAATATATTAAAGGTCTCCCACGGTCACGAAAACATTATCACGATAGCAATGCGATCATTAGCGATGTTTGGTATTTGCAATAGCGCGTGTAAATATCAGTTAATCAATGAATGTGGACATTTATTATGCTCCTTGGATAATACGACCTTTTCATTGTTCCGACCATGGTCCCGGTTCGGTAGGGGACGGACTAGCAGGGTTGTACTGTAAATTCATTCTAAATCTGGTTATAGCTTTAAAATGTGAACGGAATATCTAGTCAAAGACTAAACATACTAAAGATACTACTTAGCTGTGATGGTGATGCTTAGTTCATAGAAACTGTACAGGTGCCAATGACTTTGAATAGCACTTAGACTTCTCATCTCAGTATAAAGTAAGAAGTCTTTATGTGTGTTTCGTGTTGATGCCATTGGCTCTAATGTCAATGAAGTGTTTTTTCTTTTCTTTTTGGAACGATTTTATGGTTTGTGGTTTACTTTTTGTTCATACAACCAGAGGAGCTATTGTTTAATGACATTACTTGAATTAGTTTCAATTCAACTTGTTTTGAAATAAGTGAAATAGCAAGAAACAAATAAATAAAAACACAACCTCAAAAAGAACCGGATTGAAACTATCACCAAAATTGTCTTCAGTCGATCCACCATGATGAATCTATAAGTTGAGTATATTTAACGTTTGAGTATGTTTTTAAGGTATAACTTACTTAAAATAGCTAAAATAACTATTGGATCTATGACGGGAACTTAAACCTATCAGGAGCTAAGACTCCTCTTCATCCTTCGCCCTACAACTTATTCCATTGATAAGTGTGGTAAAGCACAAGAAAAAGCGGTTAAACAATAGCAATAATATTCTTTTGGAAATTGTTCGGGAAAAAAACCTTCTCCAGAAGGAGGGAGGTAAGGAAACTCTTTCCACTGTTCCCATCACACCAATCCCTGGTTTAAACATCAATGCTGTTACCATGCCTTAAAAACACTTGTTTTGTTCACCCTTCTTGCACACCTCTATGGCAAATAATAACCTATTTTATATAAATTAAACAAAAATACATGAAGGACAAACATTTTCGATACATAAAAACATCACAGACATTCACAACGAATGAGCGTTCTAAAGCATTCCAATTCGGAGGTATGTTCAGCTCAAAACAAAAGACAAAATAGAGCAACAACATTGTAGGATATTTTTCTATGTACAAAAGTGACATTTTATGTACAAGTTTGTGAACTAGACAAGATCATAAGATTTTGATTAAGTTGATTTATTATAATATTTAACACATAAAATCTTGAAGGAAAATAAATACCATCTGCGAGTGAAAGTGACAAAAATTGTCACCTGAATGTTTCTAAAACACCACAAATCATGAGTAAACAAATGAAAAATAAATAAATATACAACTAAAAAGTACTGTTCAATTTTAAATTACACCACTATAAAGTTCAAAAAATATTTTCCCGTTTGACGGGCCTTAATGAATAGGATGAAAAATCATTCGCGTTAAAAATATTATTGATCATATAAAAATGTGTAGTTCTGTATATGATTTGAAATTTAGAAATCTCTTTAAAATGCAACTCAGTAATCTAGGAATGTGACCTGGCTTTACAAGGTAATTTTCATGAGATTTACAGGTGATGTGAGGCGACTAACTAAACAGCTGTTCCGTGGCGCGCACGAGGTCCCAGTTGTAAGTGGACAGAGCCACACGAGCTTGGTCCTCGTCTATTCCCATGTCTGTCAGGCGGTGGATCTTAGAATCAAACTCAGGGTTGCCGTTTGGTCCTGAAAGCACAACACCCTTGACCATCGATAGAACTACATATTCCATTCCCGTAAAATAAATTGTTAACAGTTTGAGTTTCATAAAATGCATCAGCTTCATAGGATGTAAGGGTTGGTTTAGAGAAAGGATAACATTCATGGCTTTAAAAGTAACATGGTCATGTTTGGTATAATTTTTCTTCTGTTTTCACCACAGGGAAGTAAGGTATAGACTATAGAGGAAACTCGCTTATGGGAGAACCGTGCGTTTTCAGCTCTAATATGCTGTGGGTAATATATTTGTAACAGGCAAGGTGTAATGGTATGTTCTAAATTTTCTTATTTGTTGAAATCAATAATAAAAAACTCTTAACTACATGAAGTCACTAGAGCGCTCAACACACAACTTAAATCAAAACTCAAACGATTGGGGCAGCACTATACAGGACAATAAGCCTAGCGGAAAATCCAAAAGCTTAGTTACAGGGGAGTCTCGTTTTGAGAGGAGAGACAGAGACAGAGTCATATGTCTAATGATGGCGGTCGGTAGCAGTAGCTAGTAACTGTGTACCTAAGTCTTTATCACTTGTTCTGGAGTGTGTCGAGAAAGGTGACAGTCGCTGTGTGGTGTGTTATTACAAGAAGAACTACTAGACTTTACCTATAATCTGACATAAGTAAACTTAGTTTAGAACATCAAGAGCCAGTTTGTTGGTTGCCCTGGTGTGGAAGATAGCCAAACAAATATTAAAGTACTACGAGGACGAGTTTTATTGCTTTTACCACTCTTGACAACGGCAGGGAGGTGATCGTGGAGCTGTGGGACCGTGGAGGCTACAGGCATCTGGACTGGACTACGACTACAAAGACAAGACAACAAGACAGCCTACCGACACGAGGCCTGGGGAGCCATTAGCGGAGCTTTGGCGGGACAGCACCTTTGTTAAGCTAAGTGTAAGGTTTAAAATTTACTAATAAAATAAAAGAAATAAAAACGACACCATTACAAAGGAGAGCCTGACTGTGCGGAAACTCCTATCGCATAGGGCACAAGGTCAAGGATCTTTCTATACCGTGAGCGTTGTAGTGCATCAGGGTGAGGGGGGTGTTAGACACCAGCGATTTGTGCTAAACACCAGCGACTAGTGTTAGACCCCACTTCGGTGTTCCATTGAGTGTTTCCTCTGTACTTTGCTTTTATTTTAACCAACTTTTTTATTATGATGAAAAACAATCAACATCCCAAGTCACAAAAAATGTTATCGAGGGCAGTAGGGATGGAAGACTCAGAACAGAACACACATAGAAGACTAATAATTGAAACTGCTACTTGAGGAAGTGAGTGAACGAGGGTCAGACTAGGTAGCCAAGGTACACCAAATCAGTGTAAATCTAGGATACACCCAAAATTTAACAAAATTTGTGTTATTTTGAAAAATGTATTTTGAATTGTTCAGCCAATTGTTAAAATTATTGATTTCAATGATTGATTGTCTTATTTCTTGAATTTTGTTCATAAATTGTTTGTTGTTGCATTAAGCTAAGTATGGTGTTTTCACTACTGATTAATTCCAAGATATATATATAATGCAATTCTTCATTAAGATTCCTTCGTTCTAATTTTGTTCATACTCTAAAATTTTGACACAGTCTTAAGCCTAGTTATGGTTATGCGATAATAGGTCATGCTGAATATATTTTATTGCAATAACTTAGAGGAAAGTGAAGGAGTGCAAAAATCTGCTATTTTCAGTGAAAATAGCAAATTTTTTACAAGGAAAACTACATTTTCTATCTTTAAGAATGAGTGAAGTGAGTGCCCGATACTAGCAATTAAACTAGGCCTATATAGTTTAATACATTGCCAGCTAGTACCAAGGATCTTGATCCCCAAAATTTTTAGCAAAAAATTGAAAAATGGTTATGCCCTGCCGCCAATCTGTAAATATTTAAATATTTAATTAATGTTTTAGTTTTTATTTTCTTTATGACGATGGACTGCACAGTGCTAGTTAGGTCTACTAGTTCAGTTTTGACTCAATCTATCCAGCAACTGCTGGTCAAAGATGAAGAAATGAAGAAGAAGTATGAAGTATGAAGCAATACATAATGGGGAACTACACTCTCTACGTCTATTGTATTCGTCTCACAACCTGAACCCACCTCCGGCATAAACAGCAGTCCAATGACGGGCAGTGAGTCTAAACATTTCGGGGTTCTCTTTGTATTGACGAGCAACAACAGCGTCCTGGGGATCGTCAGGCTCAGCGGCTGCCATCAAAGCTTGCAGTGAGAGCAGCACAGTGCGCAATGTTAGCGCTGCGGCCCTGCACATCAATGTGTTTTTAAGCTATACAATAGTTGCAATGAAAATTTTTATGTTTTGAGAAAAAGAGTTAGAAAAAAACAATTTTTGAACATTTAAAAACCCATACCCCGTTTCCATGACCTTGCTGGTTTACGCACTCATTCAAAGTTTATCCTGCCCTACACTTTTCTTGCCAAATTTCATCAAAATCGGACCAAAATTACTCAAGTTAGCGCATTTACCGTCAAACACACACACAAATTTGAACAGATTGTGTTTTTGGCCTCTGGGTACATCGAAATGAATAAAAAAAACGATGGGTCCCAGGCCCCCCAAAGCAGAATGGTTCCTGCGTGTCTGCAACGGCCTGTGAAAACCTCAAAATGTGTCCGCAAGCGCTAAAACTAAAAAGCTAAATAATGACTTATATACCGGTATACATATATATATATTCACTCTTTAGGGCTACTAGTAATATAGTTAAATAAAATAAGTAAATTTCAATAACTTGTATAGCCTACTTTTAAAACAAAAAACTAAAAAACTATTAAGGGGTAGGCATAATCAGGTTATTTAAATTTACTTTTTTTTAAATACGTATATATATATACACATACCTTAACAAGTGTTAACAAGGTCTTCAGAAGTAAAACTTTAAATGTACTATAGTTTCTTTATATAAACACACTAGGGATGGACGGGATTGAAATTTTAGTTCGGGACGGGACGGGATTTTTATTTCCTTCCCGATTTTCGGGACGGGATGGGACAGAATTTTTTTCTGTGCATAAAAAAAAGTACTGTATTGCAGTTACCAAAAAAGACATACAAAATCAATTTTTACCATTTGTGGCACTGATCTATAAAAACCAAAAAATGGGTAACAATTTACAGGTACCTATAGAAACTTGTGACTCGCGGGTCACGGGGTGATCGTCTGTAGAACTCACGGTCACGGCGCAATCGTCGTCATGACTCGCGGTCACGGGGTTATCGTCGGTATGACTCCACGGTCACGGCGCGATCGTCGGTATGACTCCGCGGTCACGGGGTTATCGTCGGTATGACTCCACGGTCACGATGCGATCGTCGTCATGACTTGCGGTCACGGCGCGATCGTCGGTATGACTCGCGGTCACGGCGCGATCGTCGGTAGGACTCCGCGGTCACGGGGTTATCGTCGGTATGACTCTGCGGTCACGGCGCGATCGTCGGTAGGACTCCGCGGTCACGGGGTTATCGTCGGTATGACTCCACGGTCACGGCGCGATCGTCGGTATGACTCCGCGGTCACGGGGTTATCGTCGGTATGACTCCACGGTCACGGTGCGATCGTCGTCATGACTCGCGGTCACGGCGCGATCGTCGGTATGACTCCGTGCTCACGGTGCGATCGTCGTCATGACTCGCGGTCACGGCTCGATCGTCAGCATGACTCCGCCATCACGGCATGATCGTCAGTATGACTCCGCCATCACGGCGCGATCGTCGGTATGACTCCGCGGTCACGGCGCGATCGTCGGTAGGACTCTGCGGTCACGGCGCGATCGTCGGTAGGACTCCGCGGTCACGGCGCGATCGTCGGTATGACTCGCGGTCACGGCGCGATCGTCGGTAGGACTCCGCGGTCACGTCGTGATCGTCGGTATGACTCGCCATCATGGCATGATCGTCAGTATGACTCCGCGGTAACAGCGCGATCGTCAGTAGGACTCCGCGGTCACGGCGCGATCGTCGGTATGACTCGCGGTCACGGCGTGATCGTCGGTATGACTCGCGGTCACGGCGTGATCGTCGGTATGACTCGCGGTCACGGCGTGATCGTCGGTATGACTCGTGGTCACAGCGTGATGGTCGGTAGGACTTCGCGGTCACGGCGCGATCGTCGTTATGACTCCGCGGTCACTGCGTTACTGTTGGTATGATTCCGCGGTCACAGCCCGATCGTCGTTATGACTCGCGGTCACGGTGCGATCGTCGGTCCAATAATCGCGGCCACGGCGCGATCGTCGTTATGACTCCGTAAATGTGTCCGCAGGCCCGCGTTTCTCGGCGTTTCGTGTCCGCGACAATGTCGCAGCGTCGCTCGTTGTTCTGCTTTGGGGCCCAGGCCTAGGTCTTACCGTGCCACCAACAAATAGCTACTTCCCTATAGGGAAATTTCTAACAAATGTTCTCTTATAACAGAACTATCATTGTTTTTGTTTTTGAGATTAAAAAATTACAGCATAATAATTATGTAGGCTAGTTATTTTATCTTCCGTACATTTATACAAGACCTAGTTTTAATTTGTGTAGCCAATAGAACCATATATGGTGGGTTATGAATCGCTGAGTTGTGGCCTATCATGCACTGTCACATGTAAAAGATATTGGTGATAAGAGGAATCAGGACAGAAATCCCATGCTCCATGCACTAAACCAACTGCACCACAAATTTGGCTTAGTCAAATAGCAACAAGTCAAATACTGCAATCTCAGAGACTCGTGAATCTTATAGGAATTAGGCTTAATTTTTAATATTCAGACACAACTAAAGTTAATAAATAGAACTCAAGTAACCTTACCACTGATCTTTCAAAATATCTAAACAAATCGCTCCCGTAACCGAAGATATATTTGGATGCCATATTTTTGTAATAAATCGAACCTGAAACAGACAAAGTAAAGTTTAGGCCCAACTATAAAAACATTTTGTAATTGCTGATTTGTTGTTAGGTGTTAGGAAATAATTCCACTGCAAAAACGTTTATTCCAACACATTGTTTTGTTTCGGACGCATCTGCGTGTGGCACTTTGGTTGGCCAACATATCTTTGAGGTGTGTTAAATTTTTTTTTAGCAATTTCATCTTGTTATCTAACAGAGACAATTTTAAAGAGTCATGATACAATAAATCCTTGAAAAAACCACAAATGAACATCATGAAGTATTGGATTTCAAGGACGTAAAAATAAATCAAAGCAATCAAATACTTACTTTGGGTGGATTAAAAGGATATGTTTCTGGAACTTTAATCTCTAATATAAAATTGCCTCCCTCATAAGGAGTATCGGGAGGGCCGGCAATTTCTCCTTTTAACTCAGTGTAGTTGTCATCCACTAGTTCTACTCGAATCGCACATTTCGCCATCTGGAAAGAAGGATCCGTTGATTGATTTTTGTTACATGGTTAAATTTACTGACTATTAAAATTTAGGTTATTTAAGAAAAAATATGTAGTTTCAATTTTTTAGCAGCTGTAAAAAATCATAGCTTAGAGGTTCTAACTTTAACAATTTTACAAGTTTTACGATTTCTTTCTATTACAATTTGTAAGGACTATTCAAAAGCCAACTTGCAATAAATTTAAAACTTGTTAAAAAAAAGCTTTAATTTTGAAAAAAAGTAGGCCTAGTAATTTTCTTCAAACAGGTTTGATGAAGTTAATAAAACATTGTAAAATCCATACATGCTATAATTGGTACTTTCCTGTTAAAGGGAACATCCATTATTATCGATGATTTTTTTTCGATAGCCTATATCAATAGGTATTTTACTTTTTGATCCGATGTATCGATATTCATGATATGCTCACTTAACCAAGTGTTTATATGGATTTACTGGTGAGTTTTATTTCAACTTTCCATTTGCCTTTACTGTTATCAAACGGAATTTTGAAATGGCACAGTAAGTTTGGTTAGTTATGTTAGGTTACTTTGGAACTGTTTTATTTCTCCATAACTTAGCCTACCTAAAGGCGTGTTTACACCAAAGTTGATACAGTTAAAAGTTGCTTTTAAAAATTAGAGCCAACTAAGTTACTGTAGAGGAATATTTTTTTCTGGAAAAATAAAAGTCACTCTTCTCTAAATTGGAGCAACGAGAGGAAAACTGGTTACCAATGAATTGCCACAAAATAGGCAGTAGTGTCAAGGATGTAGGACGAAGACATGATCATTGCCGTGGCTACCTGTGTCATAATAGCCAGCTCTACTTGACAAGAGGTTCATTAAGATATTAGGTGAGACCCTCGTTGATGCCTGCGGTTAGGTAGGCTATAATGGCAGTGACATGATATCTTAAGTTATCTCCAAGAAGATGACATCGATCCGTTAAGTGGTGAGCTAAGATGCGACGGGAGTGTCCAAACTTTCTGAGAATGAAGAAGTGACTTGGAATATTTTATTTCATCGATCGGACAGAAAATCAAGAAGTGCATAACTTATGCGAGCAGGTTCTATATTTTGGTTCCTTATGCCCATTTAAGCCTAGCCTATGTTAATCCGTGGAGGAGGGGGGCCATGTCCCGATTTTCCCTAACATAAGGCGGCAACCCAGGTGGAGAGGGAACAGTTCTAAACTAGTTTTCGACAAGTTGCGCGTAACAACAAACTTTACACTTTAAGATGTCAACGTCACTTCGCGAGAAAGCAAAGTTTGGTGGAAAACTTTGATGTAGGCCTAAATGGAGATTTACTTGTGAAGGATACTAGAGCTAAAGCAAGCAAGGATACAGGTTACAGGTACGCAGAGGATAAGCGTCCGGCAACAGGACGTGGATTAGGCGTCCGGCAGTTACTGTCATAATCTAACCTAACCAACCAAACTTGCTGATAATGAAAAAAATCAAATGAAGGTTCATATTCTCTTCATAAAATAAAATTATAAATGCAAAAAATTCTAACAAAAGATGTACAGTTAAGAAGAAATTACATTCAAAGCAAATCTGTGACAATAAGTTAAAGAAACCGATGGGTTTCGAAGCAGGGACCTCTTGGATATCAGCCGAGCACTCTATCCACTACACCACGAACAACGCTGGCCGAACATCGTATCGTTGTGGTAATGGCGTTCCGGGACCCCACAACCCGGTGACGTCACTACCGGACGCCTAATCCACGTCTGGTTACCGGACGCGTATCCTCTGTGTTACAGGTAACCAAGTAGGCCCTAACTTAGGGAGTAACTTATAACGGGCATGACAAAACAGGTAAAATACCTAGGCCTAACTTACTGTTAGTGTTTTAGTAAGCCTAAGCCTTTTTTGGTCTTCACTTTTCAGCATTTAGGCTGAATTAACACTAAATATAAATATTATGGCATTCAGGCATGACTAAGTAGTTATAACTAGGCAAGGCCTTAGCCTAAATTACTATATTTAGATCCTATAAACTGATTATAAGGACGGAATTTTATTGATGGACATTTTATGAACAAATAATTCAAAGAAAAAATAAATTAACAATAAAGGCCTATGTATAATAAAGGATAGTAAAGTTACTATCCAAACACCTTACCTCCTCACTTTTAATAACATCCTTAAATTCTCGTTTGATTCTTTGAGCTGCTATATTAGCCATTTTATTTATATAAAATGTTGAATAATTATAAGGTCAAGGAACTATCTCATTTCATTAGTAAGTGTAATTTGATTTATAATGAAATTTTCACTTATAAGATACTTTTCTCACTACAAATTCAGAATTTTCGCTTCTGCACCTCTGGACTGGATGAGTGGAGTGGTGATATAAAAAATTGTAAAGTATAAAAATAACAACGCTTTTCAACATTGACAAGAGCGATGGAAGAAAAGAAGGAAGACCATCTGCTCTGCTTATTCAGCACAAGGTTACCAAAAACTAATAATTTTACGGTAGTTGACATAGACAGTAAGTAAAAACTTCACATGACGTCATAGGAGCGTAAGGCTAAAGTTATAAAAATTTGTCCATTTTGTTATTTTACAATTATATGACGGGGTTTTAGTGTTTTTATTGTTGATGGTAACAATTATTTAGTACTATATCAAGAGGACAAAGGAGTATGCTTAATCTATGATTGTTATCACCCAACCAACCATCATCAGTGATTTGAATTTCCTTCACAAAATATCGCAGTTCGCAGTTGTGTTCCCATCTTAAGGCCTGCACTCGCCGGGACCGGAGCGGTGAGAGCGGTGGCGATATTGGGGTGTTTTTTTCATCTCCTTCACCCACCATCACCCTTATGTCACCCCCTTATGTCATCACCACCGCGGCGTTATCGCTGGGGCGTTCACACCGGAGCGATTCCGCACCACTGCGGTGGCAGCATTCTACAGTAATTTTTCGTTGTCATTATACAACGTATACGTTGTCATTTCGTGTGCAGTTAACAAGTTCAATGTGTTGTTATTTAGAAATATGACAGACGAGAGGAAGAAATGTTGCTATTGTTTGATGTGTAGCTGAAGATGACGAGCGCAAAGATAGGGAGTGGGTACATGACATCAACAAAAGGCGATTTGAACATGGTGAATACCATACATTGATGCCTGAACTGAGAATATATGAGAAACGTCTTTAGAAATATATTTCAGAATTTCAATTGGGTACAAATAGACGTTTTCGATGAGAAGCTTAGTTGCTATGGTTGCTTGGAGTCCTGGACACAAAAAGACTCGTCGCACCGGCACCGCTGGGCGGTGAAATGGAACATGCTGCATCTCGGTGGTGCGGTGGTTCGGGTGGTACTTACGAGTGGTTTTTCTTGTATACCGCTACCCTGCTCCGGTTTGGCCGCTTGCATTTACTTCCATTGTACTAAATCACCGCGAGAATATTGCACCGCTACCACACCGCTTCGGTGTGTGCACCCCTTTAACAGGAGATTTTGTTTTTTCCTTCCACCATGGGGAGATTTGACTTTGTAATACAGTATCATCAAGGCCACCTTAAGCACCATGGCCTCGGCCTTCGAATTGGCAACATCCCAAGTAGTGTTGTAACAGCTGTTTTGTTTTTATGGTAGTTCGGTAGTTGTGTATGTTTTAAAAATACGAAAGCTTGGTTACTGGGCTATGAAAATATTGACTCCAATTTTAAATGTACATAAATATATATCCAATTTATATTGTTTTGGTTTTCAAATCTATATGTTTTATTTTCAACCTTTTAATAATTTATCTTCATAAATTTAAATTTAAATTAATAATAAAATATTATTGAGCTGGTGTCACCTCTACCTGCCTTGTTATCTTATGGGACGTATATGTCGCTAGACAAACCTATTTGCGACGTTATACCAATTGTACCAGGCCGCGGCCTATGGAGTTAAGGGTGGCCGTGGTATCATGTTCTATTGCACTGACTTCTTATAATTGACTAGACACTTTTATTACGGCATTGTGTCCAGTACAACAATCCAACATGTCAAAATCTCTTCAATTTATTTTTTCATATTTTACTACTGTAACAATGAATACAATTAATTTGACAATATTTTGCCCCTCCTCTGGTATTGCAAACAAAAAGCTAAATTATTTTGGTAGAGGTTACCTCAAAATAAAAAAGACATATTCATTCACCATCAATGAACGTGAACGAACTCAAGCGTTACCGGACATGAAATACTCTCCCAAGAGTTCAATACTAACATACTGAAGATAGTTTGATTGGAAGTAGACCTTTCATCGTTTACTATTCATAATGAAATGTATATAGATTAATGTTTAAACAATGTAAAGAGCTAATGAGTTTTACTATAGATAAAACCATAGATTAAACATACTCCTTGAGGAGTATGTTTAATCTATGATAAAACCAAAATAAAACATACTACCTCAGGTTTTACCTGAATATTAGCATAGACTAACCAAAGTATGCTTTATCTATGATATTAGCATCCTATAACCAGGGTAATCTATGATTTTGGGTACTCACAAAAAAATAAAAAGTGCGTTACTAATATCATGATCATTTTTATGCCAAAATATGTAAACACGAGGTGCAAAATGTACCATCATAATAATTCACATGAGTTTTAGTGTAAACATATGTAACATATGTAAACATATTTTTCTTTCAAAATAAACAATCTTTAGTACTTGAAACGGTTTATAGTAGTTATAGGAAAGTCATCATGGAGTAGTTGATAGATAGTTTATTATTGTCGAATTCAAAATTACTTATGAAAAAATGCACAGAGATACTTTTTATCTATGTGGATTCGCTTGTTATGTTGCATTCTACAAATGTAAGTTTAATTAACCTTCTTTATTTTTAACGTTACTTAAGTAACACTTTTGTTAGACAAAAAACACAAGGTACTTTTGTCCCAATTAACAAATATTTAATTAGGTAAACAGAATAAGTTTATATTTAAAGATAACGTACTCACTCTAATTCTAGGTCAAGTTTGGAAATTCTCAAACTTGCCACGTTTTCCAACTTCCCTTCAATTAAATTGCTGGGTGAAATTGTGTTTACAAACTGTCAACATTGTATTTAACTTAACATAACCTTGTTTTTTGTTATTGTTGTATTGGAGGAGAACCACGCGAATATACTAGTTTCAAATATTCGTGGGGAGAACCGACTCTGGGAAATAACTTACGCTAATAATTCATTGGATTACATTAAAATAATTTGATATATTATTAAATAAGTTCTCACTAATATTTTTACGTATAGCTAGGTCATCGGCGTAAGGGACCAAATTATATGGTCACAAATATCATTCTCCATAGTCCGCTTAATTTCTTGGACTCTTCGTACCCACCCAACTATAAACCAGGAAAGTACAAACTACCCTCAGCTGTCAAACGGGCCAAATTAAAATGCCAACACCCCCAGTGCAAGAAATGAAACAGAACAGAGGAAGAGACTCCGCCACGTGTCCGTCTTCACGTTGTGCGATTTACCCGACCGCAATATAATAAATCAAATGACCACGCGTGTGTAAATATTTTAGAAAATACAGTATATATTATATAGTGTTAAGTGATTAAAGCAGGCCCACTTTTATATACGGGCAGACTGGGCATATGCCCAGGGGCACCGGAGGTATGGGGGTGCCCACCGGGTGCCGGGTGTTTAGGAGAAAAGGGGGCAGCATATGTAATATGAAATAGAAATGTAGCATATGAAATAGAAATGTATTTCCTTCCCCCATGGTACCCGAGGCCTTAGTGCAACCGCTGTTTCGGAAGGCCGGGACTGCGGTGTTGCCACTTTTATCTCGCTACAGACTTGTATTAGTGGAGGCAGGAGGCTATGTTTCAACTATAGAATTTTGATTGATATTTATAGTTAACAATAAAATAAATACTGGTTATAAAATGGTGATTTGTATACATTTTAATCGAACTTTACGTAGTGGTTTGAAAACATCATAGCATCATGTGCAAACGGAAGTCGAAGATACTGAGATTTCATTTGATGCATTTTTTCTTTTGTTTTTATTCCAGTAATGCCTGGCTTATCGGACGCGATACGTGCTAAGAGTTTGTTGAGAGCTAAATCAGACAAGTACCTACCTCTAGAGTCTAGGATGCCGAACATCAAAGTTTTCAGCGGGTCTTCTCATCCCGATTTAGCGCAAAGAGTGGTTGATCGACTTGGGATTGATCTGGGAAAGGTGGTCACCAAGAAATTCAGTAATTTGGAAACATGGTAAGATGTCTTCTTTTCATTACTTTATTTAAACTTAGGTAATTATGTAATGTTGGCTACTTCTACCTGCCAATGTTAATGGTTTTCGCCTTTCGCCTAATTATCACGTGTGTTGTTTGTGCCTCTTAAGCTTACTTAGAATAATTTATTTCAATCTCCCAATAAGTGTACTATGACATATTGGTTTAACTGGGTGTAGCCTACTGGTTTTGTATTGCTCTAATTGGTTTGTTAGAGCCTAGCCTGTTAAATTAATCTGCCATAACTTGTTATGTGGTTGTAGATGGTATTCTAGGGCCTTAATCCATCATTGGGATTCTTTTAGGTAATTGGGCCTATGCACTATTATTATCTAACTTATAAAAGTAACCTAGGCTATTAAATATCAGGGCTTGTTTACGCCCCACATTCATTCGATTAAAACTATCGATACGGTATATCAATTACTGTTTTTCATTCGATTGTTTAATCCATTTTTTTATCAATTTTCCCTACTTTTTTATCACTAATTTTTTTGTAACTTCAATCAACTTCAATTTCAATTGAGTTTACATTCAATATTGAATGTGAACTAAAGTGAAGCCATATCAGTTTAAAGGTTTGTGTTTCAAAACCGAACAATAAGTAACAGTGTTTAGGAAGTTGAACTGAAGGGAGGGCCGGGTACTCCCTAATTTTATGCTTGCCAAGTGGGCCTAGGTTAATTTAAAAGTAGCCTAGGTAATTTAAGTTGAAACTCATCTCAATTAGCCTAAATGTTTTCTTACTGTATGTATTCATTTTTTCAAAATTATTTATCAATAGGCCTACTCAGAGAGGGTTTATTTCACGATAAACCCCATGAACATGTAAACATATATAGGAGTAATAATTTGACAGAGTTTTATCTTTTGATTATAGTTAAGTTATATACAAAATATAACCAAAGAAATCTATAACGGTCTCACAGACCAAAGACACCTAATGTGTGATAAAAATCATGACACCACTCTAGGGTTAAAACTCATTCAATCGATATATTTCTATATCTAAACTTTTTAAGTTCTTTCATCCAGAAGACACAACCACTGCAGCAAACCAGCAGATTATCGGCATTTCCATTTGTCTGAT